TTAATTGATCCACAGATCTCGTCCTTGTTTTAGTTAATTGATCCACAGATCTCGTCCGTTCTCTCGTTTCTCTTGCGGGCCTGCCAGGTGTGAACAGCGACACCTCTGCTGTTTAAAGTCCATCAGGTGGTCTCTGTCATGCACAAAAACACAAACACACTCCCAACGGGCCGGCGCCTGGAGCCACAAACAGCGACAACCACGCGTGTTGTGTTGCTAACCTCAGCCCTCACTGTGTGCATGCGAGTCTCAGGGGAACCGGGCTCAGGACTCAATTAAGCTGGCATGTGTGGAATGCTTTCAGGGGGAACGGGCCAAGATGGCTGTGGGGCCGACACTATGCGCCTCTCTGTCTCACTTGCCCTTGATCTCAATTGGTCTCGCTTTGGCTGACCCACGGCAGCGTGAAGGGGAACCATGAGCGGCACACACACTTACACACACACAGCTCCATGACGGGAGGACAAGTCTGCCTGGACAGACTGGAGGGCTCTCCAGGGTCCACTGCTGTGGCTCTTGTCACGTTCTGTCTTTCTGCATTGACACGAGGGAGATAAATGAGGCCTGGTCGCCTAATGAAGCACGCTGAGTCCTCCAGTAGCTCCTCATACAACCACTAACAGCCAATCACAGGTGTGCTCCTTATAAAACCCTACGCATGGACTGGGAAGTACATCCACATGTGAGGATCACTGACAGGCTTAGTGTCACTTCCACGAGAGCAGGACTCTCAGAATGTATAAGGGTTGAAAACCAAAAGGCTGTTTCAGGTGCTACACACTGTGTCGTCCTGGTGGTCGGTGTAGGAATTACAGCAACCAGGTTCAAAGGCAGCATCTCTATCAACTCTGTCTGCCTATAAATGTTCTCATACTGTTAGCAGCATCAGTAATTCAAAGACTGACTGATACATCTGAACCTCAGATGTGCTTTTTGATTGAATTTCCAATAAAACATATTCAGTATACAGCATCAGAGGATTTTTAAAAAAAGAAAGAAAAGAAAACTGCATCCACCATCTTGTCTGTCTGTCAGCGTTAAAAAAAAAAGTGATGTTATTTTCCTCAAGAAGTGAAAACAGCAGAAGCAGCTAGAGCCGTATCCATTTACCCGTTTTGAAGATTTCGTAGCGCAGCGAGAAGCCCGCCCCCTGGTGGGCGTAGTCGGACACAAACTTGATGTGGAGCGAGGGCCCTGACGATATGATTGGAGCAGGGGCGATGTTGCTGCAGTGCTTCCCCAGCAGATCAGCCGACTCAGAGCTCCCATCGTGGATCTCTACGTAGTCATACCTGCAAAACACAGACAGGTGTTAACACGGACCTCCTTCACCGGGAACACTGGCGTCACGAGGCTGAAGTGAAGCTCAGTGGCATTTTATTGCTTTCCAGAGATTTAAAGCTTTTGCCAGGAGAACCTGGCAGTGGAAGAAAAACTCATGTCTCACTTTTTGGGAATATGCAGCAGCAGCCTGCAGTGCCTCCACAGACAGTAATAAAGCGAGGAGGGGTCTAGTGGAGCCAAAACTCTTCAATCTCCCAAAGACGCTTTGATTCTGATGTTATTAGTCTTTTTCTCTTTGTTTTTTTTTTCATTTGGCAGACATCATGTTGGATTTGGCTATAAAAAGGAAGCAACGAGCAGATTGTTTGCATCTCTAAGTGGCTGCCGGGCCTTCAGGAAGCACAGTTACTGTCCACAGAGGCATGGGTGTCATTGCAATTCAAATATATACTGCAGAAGATGCTTGCAGTTCCTATAGGTGCAAGATGAAAAGAAGCACCTGCATGAAGCCAAACAGAAAAAGGAACCTTTTTAGAATTCTGTAACGTCACTGTAACCCTGTGAGGTCCACAGACACCATGTCATGACTTGTAACCACATCATAATGCACAGTGTAGGATGCCCTCTCTCAGCTTGCATAAGGAACCCGTAGCATCACATGTGTGCTGCAATGTGAAAATGTCCCAAACCGGCTCCGTGAACACAATAAATGACACGTCTCATGATTCTGAACTTTTTTTTTTCTAAATCATTGTAGCAACAAAAAATGAAAACAAACTCTTTCCTTTTTCTTGTGCAAGAAAATCAATGAAACGTGGCCGACATGACTCCCGCTTCATGGTAGCGTCTGGGGTCACAGGAACCAGCCTGGGTCAGCTGTGAATGGACCCAACACTCTTTGATGCTCAGAATGATTCATGTGGAACAAATGACCCCAGTTTACATTTTGCCCAAGTCTAATCCAATAATGGGAATAATGCAACTCGGCTGGCAGGCAAAGAGAAATTCACATTTTCCCCTTTTTCAGAACGGAAGAAGTCCGTCTTGACTTGGAGAAGATTCAACATGTATTCATCATTGCAAAGGTTGTGTTGAATCATTACTATTAAAAATGGAGGGAGAGGTTACCAGGACTCTTCTGTACACAGATATGCAGAAGTTAAGACATTTATTTTGAAAAAAAACAGCTAAAATGTCTCTCTGCTGTATCGTATCAAAGTGTCTCTTTCCCAGTATGTCTGTAAATGACCGTGTGCGATAGGAGTGGGCGACACTGCCATCATTTTTACTGCAAAGTGCCACAAAAGATGTCATCACGAACCACCAGCCACATTGATCTACAGCAGCACGTGTGCATTTCAGCAGAAAGGATGCTGGGAAGTGTTTCCCTCCATAAAAGGAAGCTTGTGACTCAAATCTATTTTTATTTGTGTTTTCTGACCACAAGTGTTCTGGTCTGTCTGCAGACCCACAGCAGGAGCGCTGCCTCTGTGTCTGAATACCAGAGACACACCTGCCTGCCTCCAAAATAGCTTCCTGAAAAGAAACCTCCTGAGCAGCTCGTCCTGAAGGAAGTCCTGAAGTTTGATCTGATTTAAGCAAGTTCATTTTCTGGGAAGGATTTTCTTACAGGAAACCTTTGGCGGGATGTGTTCACCTGTCTGACCACCTTCATGTTGAGTCTCATTACTTTAATATGAAGCGTTTCACATTCCTCAGGAGGAAGCCAGTGACCACACTTCAGCCTGAGCACAGCATCCTGCATTTGCCTTATGGTTTAAGATGCTTAACACAGTAATGTGTTTCTTAAAAATACCATGAGCCAGCAACAGAGGGCCTCCCAGCGGCCCGGAGATGAAGGTATCATGTACCACAGGATAATAAAAGTAAAGCACGTGGTGATTTGCTGCTACGGTACAGACGCATTAAAGATACATGAATATAAAAGGGGTGTTAAGCTTTTCACTATTTGTTAGCAGTTATGCATCCTATCCTTCCTGAACACAGAAGCCACAGCGCACGCACACACACACACACACACACACACACACACACTGGTTTAGTCAGTGAGAGCACAGGAAGACTAATTCCACAGAGAATGATTTAACCACAGGTGTCAGGTGTCTTGACATGAGCTGTGTTTATGTTAAAGTGTGTGCAGGTTATGATGCAACTACTCACCATGCAAACCCTCACAGGTCTGTGAAATGCTGCCCAGTACACGGACCATGTGTGTAAGGACATGTGTTGTCCCCTGTGTGTGTGTGCACGTAGTTGTCTCCAGGTGTGTGTGTGTGTGTGTGTTGCTGAGAGGTGAGCAGCCTCCCAACATAATGAGGGTCACACACCTCCTACTCTCCCGCCATGTTTTGTGTGGAACTAACACGGTTATGACGCAAGCTGTCTCTGCACTGCAAGCATGTGTGTGTGTGCATCTGTGCACGTGGACGTGCGTGAGCGTGTGTACGTGTCATAGTTCCTGTCATATTTTCCCAGAATGCCTCAGCGACAGCTTCCTCCTCCCGCTCTTGCAGTGACAACTTTGTTTAACGGCTGCTGGGATCCACACCACGTCTCTTTTCTCTCTCTTCCTGACCCACTGCCTCCCTAATTATTTCTCAGTGCTTCGCTTTTCAATGCTATCCTTTTTTTTCTTCGTCTCTTGCCTTCCTCTCTCACTGTCCGCTTCCCCTCTGTAGCTTCTTCCAATGTGCTGCCGGGCACACAACCGGTGGCCACGAGCCAGAGAGTGGGCAGAGGGACGAGGGACAGATATTAGAATTTCTGATTGATTCCGTTTTAAACTGCGCTTCATTAACAATGCTGATAGGAAGAAGAAGCGAATGAGCAAGATAGAGAGACAGATGGCTCCCCATCATCATCTCCCTGAGCCCAGCTTTCCTCGTTCACACTAAATACTTGCATTTTCCAGATTTATTCAGCCCATTGAGGACAAGCTCTGCTTTCAGGTGTAGAAACAGGGTCAGATTGAAGAGGAGCGCCGTCAGAGAGGGAACATGACACTGCATCCACTCCGCCAGCTCCCCACCTCCGACAGACAGAGACAGGTGTCCCTCCCTCCCTCCCTCCCTCCCTCCAGCTTTGTGCTTTTAGTAGAAAGCAGAAAACGACACACAGATACCCGTGGTCAGCACACACACTGCTGCACACACTGCTGCACACAGAGCCCGTGGCCATGCTCATGCATCTGCAGCGGGTTGGAGGTTTCCAGTCTGTGTAGGAGGTACACAGCTTCTAACAAACGGCTTAATCCCATCATGGCGCTCTCTCCTCTTTCTTCGCCGACATATTTCACTGCAGCCAATCAGTGATTTGCTGAGACCTGCCAAAGGGAATGACACAAACTCCAAATTTGTTTCTCCCACACTTTTCCCTAAAATTCATTTGTTAACGAGCATTGAGAATTGTTTTCTCGTTTGCACGAAGGAAACGATGAAAAAAAACAAATACACTAAACAGCTACAAACAAGGACAGCATTCATGGATCATAAGCACAGATTGAGTTGTTGAAACCGACTCCAGACTGATG